TCTACTTTTGTTAGTTATTTTGTTATACTAGGTACGCACAAGGTTCTGTAAGTGTTTGCTGGAATATAATAGATTGTACAACAAGTGCATAAAACGCGTCATTTTACCCGAGACGAGTATACTTAAATCGAGGGTAAAATGGGTTTTATGAACGAGTTATACACTCTGCTTCTCACTTCGATTGCGAGGAAATTAAACATCAATTATACAAATAAACGATTATTTAATTAAAATTGAATGAAAAATTACAACGATAAGACATATTTAATGTAATGGTTTTTCCTGGCATATTCAGTGTATTACTTTGTATTTTATTATGAACTTGAGATGCCTTCAAAGTTACGGGATTTTCTTGTACTTTATTATATAAAGTTCTAGTGTGCGTGGCTGTTGGCGCATGCGTCATTGCCTCGGTCTTAAGCGACGATTTTATTTTGTGCACTAGAGCACAAAATCCTATTTTATGCACTAGAGCATAAAATCCTATTTTATGCAGCCTACACCCAATATAAATACGAACTTTAAGAGCATGAGAAGTGAAAAAGTATTTATGTAGTCTTAAAGTATGAGTATAAGTATTGAAGATTCGACTCTGTTAGAGGTGCAGAGTACGGCACTAAATCATACAAAATCCTATTTTTATCAGGAGGATATGGATTTTATTAAAAATGGCGAAGGTGATACTAATGGTAGGTATATAGAATCTGAAGAAGACACGCCAAAGCCATATGTAATTTAACAAACATTATCAAGCATCTTCCATGTTTCTAAACTGGTTGTTATCATAACTTATTATTATAACTTAAACTTATTATTATTATAACTTAAAGCATCAAGAATGAAACTGTCTGCCGGTCCACCTAGACCTATCATAGCAATTTAAAAATATCTTGTGTGCACGCAATTGCCTTTGCTCAGAACATCTTTGCATCAAGAATGAAACTGTCTGCCAGTCCACCTAGATCTATCATTGCAGTTTAAAAATCTCTTGTGTGCACGGAATTGCTCAGAACTACAACTCTAAAAGCCTGTCTGACTGTGCAAAATTAAGAAGCAGTACTGTAACTTAAAATTCTAAGGTCACATTCACAAGACCTGTTACGCGTATAATTAGACAATCAGACCACCTACTAAAATAAAATAAATTTCTACTTTTGAACAAACATAATGTTCAAAAGTAGAACTGTAGATAGCAACAGGTCTAGAAGTGAGAACTTTTCATGTCATCCTGTTTTTAATATGTCGTTAAATGTAAATTGTTCATTTACGAGAGAAAAGCATAGATGTCGGAGTTATGGTACTTTATGCCAGCCGAAACAAATTCTCATAATAGACCTGAGTCCAGAAACAGACTGAGTCTGTTACTGACATTTCTTATTTTGAGTATGGTGTTTTGGCTCCTGATACAGATTTTTATGATCTTGAACAGTCAAAAGTTCTTGCCCCATGAAAAGAGTAAGCTCACCATACGAAAGTATTGATTTGATATTTCCTAAATACAATCCTAACGTTGAAGCGTTGTTCATCTATGATGACTTTGATAGAGAGTCAAATAATTCCTCCACCGATACCTATATCGCAGCAAATGACAATTACATTGAAGAGCTAACCCCAAAAATAAGCATTGATTGACACATTTAAAGTTTACTCATTAGATGATTTTATAGAGGATTCATTGAAGCAGCATTTTTTTTTTGGTAGAGAGGAGGACCAGGAATTGATTTTTAAAGAAAACTAACCTGAAAATGGCCCTTCAGTGAGATTGCATGCCCATAACAAACCAATTATTATGCTATATTTTAATATGCGTGTAAAAAGTACAGTCAAAAACCAAATTGACTAATGGAGAAAATTTAAGATTTTGTATTTTCCACTATCAAAAATAAAGAGCTCGTATGTAGTATTATCATTGGGTAGACATGTATTTTAAGTATTTTACACGGAATTTTTCTCACCGTAGATATTCTTCCCAATGAAACAAAATTATAATGTTGCATGATATTGTTCAGCTTAAAATGCTGAACGACCAGAATACCGTGGCGTTGTCTGCTTTTTGATCCGGGCAGCTTTGTGTATCAATTATGATGATTTTTATACTTAACAAAATAAACATAATTTAAGTGATGCCTCCGCCCGAAACAATTACGTGCGTTTGTTTTCAAATTTCGTTTCTCCATCCAGCAACACAAATCAGAGTTAAATCTATTTTCACTCTCGTCGCCGCTTGTAATAGGTAGGTATCTCTGAGTACAATTATTAAAACACCTTTTGTTATTCGATAGGAGTAAGTAAGCATAGAGCTGTAATCACACGTGGTTGCCAGTCAAGTGCACCCACCTAGCGCCTCCACATACACTACAATCATCAGCAGTTGCAATTCACTGCCGGTCATAGGCCCAATACGCCATTGTGTATTGTGCCATTCATGTTTTAATTACTTCTTTTTTATTAGTTACAAAATGTTTGTACTCTAATAATAATAACGCACACACTCAACATAGCCCCGCACTAGGGAAACCCTGTGTCGCGGGTGCCATGGACACACACATAGACAATAACAAATTATACCCAAACTCATGAGAGAAATAAATGTAGGCCACACAAATATTTCTCCCGGCTCCTGGAATCACAAACAGAGCTCATATCTATTTGACTGACATGGTCTATAAGTATTAAACAATCAAAACAGCTGACTTACTAATTAATTCCTAGAGGTGTCCCATCAGGATGTTGCTTATCGTAACGGTGTCGGGTAATACAAAGTGTACCTACTAACGGCACGCTGACGAATGAATTGTTGCATTAGTCATCTTTCTTTTTGAAACGTTATAGGCTGCGATATAAAGTTAAGTGCATAAACTTAGCTCGGAGGAAGTATTTGAGTGCGACCTTTTAACAATGGGGAGTGGCCTCGATCTGGTATGGACATTTGTCACAATCATTCATTTCATTCAATTTCAATAGTGAAGAAAACTTGTGTTAGGGAGAAGATTCACAACACTAATTTTCATTAAAATTAATATAATTCAAACCAAGTATGAAACCGCAATTTTTACCTACTCGAAATTAAGGCGAAACCATAAAATCTCAAACATACATTTACTAGATCGTAAACGGTGATGAATGGAGGGTTCAAGATCAGGCAATGATCTGCGCCTGCGCGTGCGCATCTGAAGCGCATCGTGCGCCATCTTGTAGGCGGAGCTTAGAGCGGCGACGAATCTCTCTCACGTGAATTACCTTTGAAAATTTATAAATCAGAAAGAGAAGAATACAGTTGGAAATCTGTTTAAAATTATGAACAGGTTGGTACTTAAGCTAGGTACATGTTTACATACAAGAATCTAAATTATCAGGCCTATTTTTCATCCCTAGTGTAGGCAGAGACTACTGAAATCAATTTATACAATCCTAACAAATATATTGTTCTATTTTCATTCCTAATTCATCTTATTTTAACGCAATGGTCTACATTTGTTTTGCGTAACACGTAGTATAAGGTAGTGTTTTTGTAGTACGTATAATGTACATGCATACATGCAATTAATCGTTTAAAAATGTTATAATTCCGTATTAATACCTCTTATAATAATAAATAACAATATTGGTTTAGTCTCAGTAGTAGTGTTAATGTTTACTACAGAGCGCCAATTGTTTACGGCAGGTCATAGCAACCCACCGCTGATAGTCCTGATGCTAGTGAAAGACTTAACTACAAGAATGTATCCCGATTTTCTTATTGATATTTCAAGCAATACATTGTATTGAAATTTTAAGGAATTTTTCAGTTTTTTTAACAAGTTCATTTTTATATTGGTGTTGAGGTAGCGTTTTCTACAATTTTGCTCATGCGTTGTATACCTACTCTGCGTCGACCATAGTCCAGTAAATAAAAAAGACAGTCATAAATGGTATTGCGAATTAAGTATTATAAACTTTAGAATCAATACTGGTATTTGAATTCCAAAGTAACTACTAGAAAGTGCGTTAGTATGGAGACCGTGCACCACGCACATGCTTATAGTATATCATATACATATTGGTTAATAAACATTAGTATCGATACCCTTTGTCTACAAGCATGCCTATTTTTTGGCTTTTTCTTTCAACCTAAATTATACGTATAAAATTAATATCTAAATGATTTTGTACTACGATTACAAACAAAATATTAGTGTTTATTTTTGTCAGATCACATCTCGAGTTTTAGCCAGCGAGCTTATTAGAAGCGAATAAAGAACTTATTTCGGTGTACGATGCGCGCGTCGTTTACGTTCTCTCGAGTAAATAAATCCGGCAAGTTTAATGCAAAACTTTTGGTTTACGCTTTATGGTAAATATTTGGTGTACGTCGTATAACTGTTTTATAGATCTAGTAAAATGTTTGGTTTAATTGTGCTAGGTCAAGAGCGAGCGTTCGACAGGCGTCCTTGTGCGACGGATAAATATTATTGTCTAAGCGGGTTTTCCGATGTTTAGTTATACGAGTTTGTGGATAATACAGTGCCAGTGCAACGACCGCCGTTGTTGTGCTCATAAAATTCATTCTTTTCAGTTTTCTTAATCAGTCGAGGTACTGTAGTTTGATAATGAAAACTCCTGAGAAGATTCAGAGGAGTTTGTTACAACTGTGGTTGTGTTGTCGCCTTACACCAGCTGAATTATGTGCCTGATTTTGACCAAAGTTATGATAACAATATCAGGATAGGTAAGATTTGAGCCATCGTTTGAAAGCTTCCTATAAGAAATACATGAGTGTTGTGTGAAAAAGCTTTTAGTAGGTATATTCCATAGTAAGTACATACATATAAAGTTACAACTATTTTTCAGAGAAACGTGTATTAAATTTTTGAGTGGTGGTTTGCCAATAAGCAGATTAGCAGAGGTGGAGGCGGGGGTGGGTGTGACGAGACGCGCGGTGGGGCGTCGGCGGGGCCTGACGTTGGGCGGCGGCGGGTGGGCGGCGCACGCGCAATCACTGTACTTTTAAAAGTGTTCCCGTAAGCACGCGCTCCCGCACGTACGCGTTCCCGAAAGAAACGCATGAAGACCGAAAATCAAACCCCCGAAGAGGCGGCGCGGAGGGCGCCTGCCGCGCGACGCCAACAAAAACCACCCTTCTCTTACATCGCACTGATCGTTATGGCCATTAGAAATTCACCCAATAAACGATTGACCCTCAGTGAAATATACGCGTTTCTTCAACAACAATTCCCGTTTTTCCGGAGTGCCTATCAGGGATGGAAAAACTCTGTTCGCCACAATTTGAGCTTGAACGAATGTTTCGTGAAGCTGCCCAAGGGCCTCGGCCGCCCGGGGAAGGGTCACTACTGGACAATCGACCCGTCTTCAGAATATATGTTCGAGGAGGGTTCATTCAGAAGACGACCCCGAGGATTTCGCCGCAAAAGTCAAGCACTTAAACCACAATTTGGGGCCAGCTATTTATGTGGTAGTGGAGTGAGTGCTCTGCCACCTTCTCAACCGACAGGATACGAGTTAGCAAGTGGAAGCGGGTCAGGATCCGGTAACACTTCCACAATTGACTACGGAGCATGTGCATACACACATACTAGCGCGGCGAGTCAGCAATTGACATACGGCAGCGAATACTGCACGTATGGCGGGATGGGAGACCGGGAATGGCCTCTGCCTTACGGGCCCGTGGATCCGGGCTACCGGCCGCCACCGCCCTCGTGGCCGCCGCATCATGATTTGCCTGATATCGTACCATCATCGCCTCCGCCACATCACGAATTACCGGATCTCATACCTAACTATCAGTATGCGGTTGCCAACGAGCATGGTGAGTTCCAATCCTAGTTTTTTAACTGAATCTTCAAGTTATTAAAATATAGCATGTAATTTTTTTTCCAACGATTAAGTTAGTGTACTATTTCTTTGGTAGAGTTAGTATGAAGATAGTTAAACTAAAACATTCCAGTATTGGTCAATTTATTACAAAATTCATTTTATTAATAGAAGACTGGGATAAATAAAAGCTATTGATAAAATGAGATATTTCTTGTCTCTCTGCTGTGTTTATCAAACTGTAATTTCCAGGTCAGAATATAAGAAACTTGTTGTGTTAACATCCTATTTAAAAATTCTTTATTATTGCCATATAAAGTAAAATAAAATATCATAACTCTTATCCGAAACAGAACTAACAAATACTAGTTCAGTTAATAAGTTTTGTTTATTCCAATTTTTTGATCCAAATCTAGCAACCACCGGCTTTTACAGATCTGGCATTTATAGCGCTAATTATATTTAAATATTCAGCATATTTTATATGTATACCTAATATTAGGAATATACGTATAATAATATACGTATATATAATGTAACTACTACAATAATTGGCCAAGATCTTCCTTTTCTTCTTCTTCTTCAATACAATAGGAGGTACGACTTCACTCCACCTAACGTGAAATGGAAAGTGGAATCCAATCACTCCCCTATCCACCTCCAAATGATTAAATAATTACTTTAAACATTCCAATTTCTTCTGCGAAATTCGTATTCCCTCGTATAATTGAAATACCGTACGTACACGTGGCGCCTCACCCGAGGCACTAGCCTCTTGAGAACCGGATGAAGTCAATGACAACGGTCTGTAATAATCCTGAACACTGGCTGAAGGTCTGATCCTGACCCTGCTGATCCAGAGTGAACTTAGACGGTCCCTGTGCTTGCACAACTTGTAGTGCCCTTCTCGATATTCTCTAAGGGTCGGTGGGGAGGGTCACTATAATCAAAACTTATGTAGAAATAAACGAGAAACATCCTCGTTTATTCCTTCTTTCTCCTGCGTCTTCTGTCTTCACGTGTTCCTTTACCTACCCGTGTGTCATGCCTCTTTATGTGTCCTATTCTCTATTATAATTTGTTATATTCATTTGCTATTGTTAGTAATAAAAATTTAGTCGGTGTAATATTTAGTGTAATTAATAATTTATTTATTATATATAATATTCCTTATATGTTTTAATTCTTCCAATCTTAACTCACCTTATATTTTTTCTTTTCCGAACATTTTACTTCGACTTTGGCGATTAAAAAATCCCGACAAAGTCTTCTTGTCCAAATACCCACCCGATAGCTTTTTAGTGCGACGCAACGAAAAGCAGAATACATAATTCACATTTTGGCTATTTTTTTTTAATGTGTACCGTTCATTTTCCGTATAAGTACAAAAATGTTAACAATTTGTAGCCTAATTTGTTTCAACGCAATAAGCTGAGCAGTGTTTTAATAGCAATGGAGCTCCTTGTGAAAGTGGTCGTGGGAAGTCATGCCACCTTACCTATTTCTGCCGCCAAGCACTAATGTGAGCATTACTGCGTTCCGGTTTGAAAGGGTAAGGGTGCTGGTGAAATTACAGGCACATGGAACTTGCCAACTTGTGCCTCAAGGTGACGGGCGCAGTGACAGCGCCCTTAAGGTCTTTGGGATCTCCTAAGAGCTCTGAGTGGCACTACAACTGTTATGGATAGGTGTGTCGCTTACCACCAGACGCACGACTTGTTGGTGCCGTCACTTGGTATTATAAAAAGAAAAGGTGTCATCAATGTGTCAAAGAGAGCCACATCACGTGGCGTCATATGATCTAAGCCCAAGCATTTTTGCACCACGTGATTATAACGTATCTAATTTTCAAATTTTATCAATAAAATGTCTTTATTACGTAGGTAATGAAATTACGTCCGAAATCGTCACGTCGATTAAAATCACTACTCATTTTTAAGTCCAATCATCGGACAAGAACCATTTTTTTAAATAAGAATCATCACAAATATTTAATAGCTGGAAGTATACCATTACGATCTATTTTATAATAAGCTGTTTTTAATAGTGCTGTTTTAATATGGGATTTGAACTGGTTTTTGATATATTTTACTCATTTCCTGGAATTACATTATAATATACAGAGCCTTACAAATGACGAATTAAGTTTATTATAACTGAGTACAGGGACCGCAAGTTTATTTTTGTTTCTAAAGTTAAGATTATGCCTGTGAGTATAATTTTCCGATAGAATGCTACATTTTTATCAAATATAAATTTACTGGTACATACTAAATACATGTACTGGCCAGAGTTAAAATATTTGAATCTTTGAACCGTTTCGTTAATATAGGTTACTTTAATTTTATGAGAAAATATGTTATGAATATTAATACCTAATGTCGATATTATTTTTACTACGTTATCGGTATTATCACAATCTATAAAAATAATCTCAGTACAGTAATAAAAAACCCGACCTCAAAAGTCAAAATGTCATTCATCGCTTAGTTTGCCACCCTTAGAGGTGGAATATATTCTTTAAATTTAAAAGGGAGGTACCCTCTTTCCAACAAAAAAGAATCATCAAAATCGATTCACAAACAGCCGGAGTTATCGCATATCGTATATCGCGACGTGCATCCATCGGTTACCCGCCACCCATACCAGGCCATCCGTCCGTCTAGTAGGGGGCTCACTGAACGCTTTCCGGTTTGTGGTCTCCATTCAAGAGCCTTTGCTGCCCAACGGCCGTCAGTTCTACGAGCTATGTGCCCTGCCCACTGCCACTTCAACTTGCTAATCCTTCGAGCTATGTCGGTGACTTTTGTTCTTCTACGGATCTCCTCGTTTCTGATTCGATCACGTAGAGAAATGTCGAACATTGTTCGTTCCGTAGCTCATTGAGTGACTTTGAGCTTTTTTCTGAGGCCCATAGTAAGTGACCACGTCTCAGAGCCGTAGGTCATCGCTGGCAACACGCACTGCTCGAAGACTTTTGTCTTCAAGGACTGCGGTATTGCGGATGAGAAGATGTCCCGGAGCTTCCCGAAAGCTGCCCAACCGATTCAGATTCGACGATCGCATAGCATACATACGAAACAAAACGTACAGTCGAATAGAGGACCGCCTCCTTTTTTGAAGTCGGTTAAAAATTGTAATGTAATATAACTGTACTATTTATAATAGTAAGTGTGTTTGCACCTTAATGAACCTTTTTTATTATTATAGTTATTTCTGTTTATTTACTGCCTAGTCAAACAGTGGCAAAAGCGACGTACTAGATAATTATGGGACTCACGAAGTCATGACTGTACAATCATAAATCCGCAGAAGCCACTTGAGTTCTTATGTCGACACCCTATCGAGTACTTGGCTCCTGTCATCTTGAGTTCACTCAGTTCACTTATCGCTACACCTGGCTACTGTTAACTGTGTTTTTGTTTTTGGAAGGGTATAGGTACCTAACATACGTTAATGTACCTAACAAGCTTTTTTAAAATTTATTTCATTACCTAACAAGCGTTGGGGTAGTATTACGAGATGGTAACATTTCTTGCATTTTTCGTTTGTCGTGTATACACGTAACTTTTCAAGACAATTTTCGTCACTTTTCAGGTTATATTTGTTACTATAAATCCTAAATAACTTACGGACGCACTCAAATTATACAATAAACTAACTCCGATATGGCACATACAAAATGAAATCTACCAATTACTTGTTTTGAAACTCTACTTTTCTTGAGCGTATAACAACTTTTTTTAGGATTTAGTCCTATATAAATGTACTATATGTACGTCGTTAATACCTAGACATTTTATAAAATAATCTCTGTATAGAGCACTACAAAAATCGACCTCAAAAGTTCGTGGAATTACATCTGTTCGCCAAGCTTTATTGAAATCGGTTACCGGAAAGTGCGCGAAACCGGATTCATCCCCTTGTTTGAATATTTTCTTCAAATTTAATTGGGAGGTCAATAAAAAATATGCCCATGCGAGTGAGTTTAGAGTCATGGAAGTGATTATTTTACAGGGTTCGGGTGTGTAAAATAGGGTTGTGTTTTAATTTGCGCGTGTACTTGCGCGCTGCTTTTTTTTGCATACATTTTTTTTTGACGTCGAAAACCAAAAGGTGGCCTAAATCAGTAGAAGAGAAGATATGAGAAGACATTAACTTTTTTTCAACCCCTATAATTAAGTCCTTTAAAGGCTGTGAGCTAGGCGAGTATTTTCCCCTTAAATAACAAGACCAAAACGAATCATCAAAAATATCTAAAAGAATTCTTAGGTTTTCGCGATTGTTACACATAGGAAATGAAACCATTTTTCCGGATTGAAATCGCGTATATACGCGATTTAAATCCAGATTTTCCTATCTAACAGAAGTTTTCACTTTTTTTTAATTAGACGACCGGAGGGCCGTTCGCATGACAAAGCACTGATTAGTGCAATCCCGTTGTCTACTTGCACTGATCAGAACCAAAATTACAAAAGCAACATTAGAGCTGACAATTTTTTTATAGTTATCAAGACGTGTAACGTTTCCCTTTTAACGCTAGCGAAGTTTTTCTTTCTTGGGGTTTACTGTGGCTTGACTTAGGGCTTTAATAAACTCAAATGTCATATGGGGTCCAGGTCCACAGACTGGGCAGACCACTTCAGAGTTTCATGTTAGTTTCTCGAAACCACGCCATAATGCGAGCAGTGCCTCTACCATGAGTTCACTATCACTAGCCACAGCAATAGTATTTGTATACAAAATGTTACTTCTTCTCGTGACCGTTAGGGGCGCTGTACAATTAATTTGATATACAAAATTGTCACACATCCAGGCGTTTGTCGACTTTTTTTAGAAACAAGGAAAGATACTAAATATATGAAGAGACTGTATGGTGGAACTTTACCCAAATAAATGAGTGAAAATAAAAAAACTGTAATAATTTTACAAAGTCGCTAGGTATTTAATAACATTGACTGCTGAAACTGTAATGTCATGGTAGAGGCAGACATT